AAGTTATCAGAGAAACAAGCTGCAGAAAATCTCGTTCTCGTCTCAATATCGATATCTCTCAACAATGCACCTAGCTAGCCGCGTACAAAGACTAAACAACATGTTGACAAACCACTAATTATTTATCTATATTATATAGTTTTCCTCTTTTTGCATCTCATTTGCTTTGTTACCATGGAAACGCAGGTGAACAGGTGTCTTTATTGGACAGTTAAAGAGTGTTGAGTTGGTTTTTGGGGGATTAAATGATTCACCTCATAGCACTAAATCCATTAAACAAGTTCTCTATGTTTATATAAAACTTGGAAACTGTTAATAATATTAATGTGAATGTTCACTGTCGCTGTGTTTAAATGTTGTTGTTTTGTATTCTTTTGTGTATTTTGTTTATTTTTTAATTTGCCTTTATTGAATTTGAATGTTTGTGTTCATAACAAACTTTATTGGAAACTATAAATCATAGAACGAGTGCAGCGGACTGATGAAATCCCATCATCCTCGGGGTTTATTGCGGATCGTAAACAACTTTAATCAACATGTGAGCTGATTAAAACAGCAGCAGAGTTCGTCAACTCGCTCCTCGGTTAATATCAGAGCCAATAAACAACAACCTGTCTCTGGCAGTGTTTGTGTTGTGCCAGGAATTATCAGGAGGTTTGTTTTACAGGTCGGTTGTGACCAATCAGCTCGCTTGGCTGGAGCCGCCTGTTACACCGCACAAAGTCAATTTCCTGTTTGTTTCCTCCACACTTCGAGCTGTTGCTGGGACTGACAGAAAGCTGTTAACACAAGTGTTTTTAACCGAGTGTCAGCATCCTGGGAGGAGGAGGAGGAGGAAGAGGAAGCAGTGGTTCCCAACCTTCTTCCCTAAGCGAGCCCTTTTCTATCATTCATTAACTGACTCAGTGACATTTGTTAAACAGTGAACTCAGTAAAGTTTGAGTGATTTGGATGAATTATGAGCATTTTATTTCCTGTTTAGGGAACTTTTTATACAATTCTCTATCTGTATTCTCTATTTATTTATTTCTTAACAATCATTCAGACTTTATAAGCTTCTTTTTTGACAAATTCAGTGTTTCTTTACTGTATATTTCTTCAGAAAAGTGAACCAAATGTTGAGTTATAGACAGACTGTGTGTATATTTAAGTTTTCTTACAGCCCCTTAAAATCAAGAAGGCCTCGCGACCCCCTGTGAAGCTTTGGCGCCCCCCCTGCTGTGGGTCCCAATCCATGTTTGGTTTATAGGTTGATCAGAAGTTGTTATATTTATTAGTTAAATTGTTTCCCAGAACGGCTGTAAACTGTAAATAGGTTAAAGTTATATAGATATCTCATAAGAAAATCTTTATTTATACGACATTGTAAAGGAATTTATACGTAATAAAGACGTTTTTTTTTATATTACAGACTGTAAACTGCACAGAAAACCACCGTCATAGCATCATATTATATTTACATATGGTAAAACTGTTTGTTTTAATGGTAGAAACTTGAATTTATACAGTAAAATATGGATTAAAACTCAACTAGCACTAAAATCCTTTTACTGTATTTATTACGGTAAAGTTCTGGCAACCACACCTGTCAAAGAAAAAACTGTTAAACTGACGTTTCAACTTAACGTCTTTAACTGCTTAAAATTCACTTATCAGTCACTTATGTCATTGCTTCTGTTTCAATTAAATTAACAAAATAAAATCCCAGTTTTAATTAACCAGAATTATCCTTTAAAAAGAGGAAGACACAGTAGAGACACACAAAGAAACACATTTATTAACACACACACACACACACACACAGGCAGCAGCTGTCAGAGCGTTAGGGCAGCGCGGCGTGAACACCTGAGTCCCAAGCTGGACGGCGTCCAGACCGACGAGTCTGAAACTGAGACTGAAGATCTTCATTAAACACATCTGGATTCGTTCAGGTGTTCATCAGGATGTTTCCGGGACCGGTTACCTGGAGCAGCGAGTCGGTGCTGGAGGGTTTCTTCTTTGGTTGGTTCAGAAGTATTTTTACCCAGAATCCTCCTGTGATTTCAGCTGGTGGTTGGCGCAGTTTGAAATTTAAGGTTAAAAAAAGAAAAATCTAGAGGAAATGTAACGTAGTTTAAATGTTAAAGAATAAAAACAAAATGATTGAAATTATAAATAAATAGAAATAAACAGTAAAGGGGGGTCGGGGGGGGGGTTTCTGTACCCGGACCTGAATTTACATTAAAGGCACCAAAACCTACAGTGCTTTTACTTTAATAAGAAGTTTAAACTGTAGTGAATTATGTAAAAACGACTTCCAACAGGTCGTTTACACCGACCTCAGGCAGGTGTGAAACCATGAGGTTACAGAGAGACAGAGAGAGAGAGAGAGACACAGACAGAGAGAGAGACAGAGAGAGAGACACAGACAGAGAGAGAGAGAGAGACACAGACAGAGAGAGA